GTTCAGACGTGTGCTCTTCCGATCTCCCCAAAACCCCAAAACCCCAAAACCCCGATAGTTGAATTTTACGTGAATTAAGCTCTTAATGAATAAACATTAATTTCAAGATTATTATTATATAGTTTAAATGGACACGGAAAAGCAAGCTAACCAAAGTACCTAAGATGGTAAATTTTAGTCATTAATAAAATTCAGGTGGAAGCCATGATTAGGTAGATGGTATAGATGAGAAATTCGATGAGGTTTTAGCTGACGAGCTTAAACTGGACGAATGGACCATCTGGGAGCATTATGAGAGTTTGGAGCAGAAAAAGGTTTAGTTTGATGCAAAATATCTAGTGAGTTTCAAGAAGGTTGCCTGGTTTAATGATGTAATCTCCTACTGGCAAGTATGGCAGAATTTGCCAATCTCAAACTTAAAAAACTTCTTTTTCAACTCTTCGAGTAGCACTTAGCCAACGTAAGTGAGATCCCCAAAAAGCTTTAATATGATTTCCCAATCACTTATGATCGGATAGCCAAATTAATTGCTGCTTCTGTAGGTATGATGTCAAAGGAGAGCTCAAAAGAATCAGCACAATTAGTATGTTCTTGAAGGGAGTAAAGCCCATGTTTGAAGATTCAGCAAATATCCAAGGCGGTGAATATCAAATCAGGCTAGCCACCAATATTAAGGAAGATACTTTCGATTACCTCAATTCGATTTGGTAGAGTCTAGTATAAGATGTCATAACAAAGAGATTTCCGAATTCCAATCAAATATTGGGTGTTAGAATTGTGGACAAGAGTTTTTCAGGCAAGATGAATTTCAGAATTGAAATCTGGGTTAGGTACAACAAGGAATCAGCAGAGGAAGCCCCTGCCATTAGGAAATTCTTGGATGAGGAGTATTATCAAAAGTATAGTGACAACCAAGGAGGCATACCCTTCAAACTACATGTTTTCTGAGCCAATAAATACATAAACTTTTGGTACTTCTTATATGTTACTTTTAATTAATAAACTTTTATATTCAATTCATAATACAACAAATATTATTTAGAATGATGATTAATTAAGGTGGCTTCATTATTTATAGATTATTGGCAATTGTATTATCATATTTTCCTCTAAATCTACGACTTTATTATCTATGGGGTTTTGGGGTTTTGGGGTTTTGGGGTTTTGGGGTTTTGGGGTTTTG